GCTTCTTATGTTGTGGGAGGGCGGGTGGGACTGGGCATGCCATGCTTGACTCGCTCGAGCTGGCTAGCTTGACACCTACTCCTACTCCTACTCCTATTCACTCCTACTCCTACTCCGTACTACTCTACTAATCTACTACTCCCTTACTACTCCTTTACTGCTTCCTACTGCCCCTACTACTTCCTACTACTCCTACTTTCCTACTACTTCCTACTCTATCATAATCCTACTTTCCTAACTCCTACTCACCACTACTCCTACTACTAATAATACTACGACTACTACTACTACTAAATACATACACAACTACTAAGAATACGACTCCGACTACGACTACGACTACGTGACCACGACTACGGCCGCCGGCCGCCGCCGACGACGACGACGACTTACGACAACGACTGACGAAACGGACTTACGAACCACTCTACGATTACTACACGACTACTACCACCACCACCACTAATACTACGACTACTTCTTACCGACTACAACAGACGAATACTACCACTACTCTACTATGAACTCACACCTACGCCTACGCCATACGACTACGACTACGACTACGACTACGACTACGACTACGACTACTACTACTACTACTACTACTACTACTACTACTACTCCTCCTACTACTACTACTACTACTACTACTACTACTACTACTACTACTACTACTACTACTACTACTACTACTACTACTACTACTACTACTACTACTACTACTTATACTACTAATACTACTACTACTACTACTACTACTACTACTACTACTACTACTACTACTACTACTACTACTACTTATTACTACCTACTACTTACTACTACTAATACCACTACAACTACTACTACTACTGCTACTACTACTACTACTACTACTACTATTACCACACTATATTACTACTACTACTACTTACTACTACTATAATACTATTACCTACGACCAATGCTACTACTACGACTTACTACTAACCACCGCCACCACTATAGCGCTGATACTACAACAACAACTACTAATACTAATGCTATACGAATAGGAACTTATACTTATACTTCTACTTCGAATTCTAAGTCTACTTCACTTTAATATAATACACTTACTACTACTACTACTACTACTACTACTACTACTACTACTACTACTACTACTACTACTACTACTACTACTACTACTACTACTACTCCTAATCCCACCAGCCCTTTAGGGCGTAGGTGGTTTAGGGAGTTTCCTCTGCCAACCCCCTTCTTCCCCTTCGGGGAGGGGTTTACCCCTCCCCTTACCCCTCCACACTGACCTGGACGGGGCGTTCCGCGGGTCGTTGGGACGGCCAAGATGGCCCAAGACATCTCCAAGAGCGAAAAGGCGAGAAACACACAAAACATTGATTTTACCTAGGTTTTGGAAGGATTTGGGCCTCTCGGGGGGGCCCAAGAGGCGACTCGAGGCACTCTAGAGGGGCAACGCTAATATACGACCCCCCCTTTTTTGATAGATCTCCTCCATGATGGCCCCAAGAGCGCCCCGAAGGCTCCCAAGAGCGCCCCAAGAGCGCCCCAAGACGGCCCCACGAGGCCCCAAGAGGCCCCCAAGAAGCCTCCAAGAGGCTGCCAAGAGACCCCCCAAGAGGCCCCAAGAGCCTCCCACGATGGCCCAAGACGGCTCCAAGAGCGAAAAGGCGAGAAAGCAAAAAACATTGATTTTACATAGGTTTTGGAACGATTTTGGCCTCTTGGGGGGCCCAAGAGGCGACTCGAGGCACTCTAGAGGGGCAACGCTAATTGGGGACCCCCTCTTCTTTGATCGATCTCCTCCAAGATGGCCCAAGAGCGCCCCGAAGGCTCCTAAGAGCGCCCCAAGAGCGCCCCAAGAGCGCCCCAAGAGGCCCCAAGAGGCGCCCAAGAGGCCTCCACAAGGCTCCCAAGAGACCCCCAAGAGGCCCAAGAGGCTCCCAAGACGGCCCAAGACGGCTCCAAGAGCGAAAAGGCGAGAAAACACCAAACATTGATTTTCCTTAGGTTTTGGAAAGATTTTGGCCTCTTGGGGGGCCCAAGAAGCGATTCGAGGCACTTTAGAGGGGCAGCGCTAATTGGGGACCCCCCCTTCTTTGATAGATCTCCTCTAAGATGGCCCCAAGAGCGCCTCGAAGGCTCCCAAGAGCGCCCCAAGAGCGCCCCAAGAGGGCCCCAAGAGGCCCCAAGAGGCCCCCAAGAGGCCTCCAAGAGGCCTCCAAGAGACTCTCAAAAGGACACAAGAAGCTCCCCGAGATACGCAAGAGGCACCCGGGACCGCCAAGAGGCCCAAAAGACGGCCCAAGAGGCCCCCAAGCTCGCCATTGTCCTCCTCCTCCTCCTCTTTTTCTCCCTCCTCCCTCCTCCCCCTCCCCCTCCTCCGCCTCCTCCTTCTCCTCCTCCTCCTCCTCCTTCTCGTCCTCCTCGTCCTCGCCCTCCTCCATCTCCTCCTCCTCGTCTTCCTCCTCCTCCTCCTCCTCCTCCTCCTCCCCCTCCTCCTCCTGCTCCTCCTCCTGCTCCTCGTCTTCCTCCTCCTACTCCGACGACGACGACTCCTCCTACATCCTCCCCCTCTTGGGGCGTATGGCGGCTCAACCCGCTCTTTGTTCTTCTGCATGCTCCCCCGCTTCCCTCATCACCTCCACTCCCCTGGGGCTCATTTCTGGACGGGCTGGTGGGGATACGCGAAGCGTCTAGAATTGGATTTCTAAGGCTTCTGCTGACAATACATATGTTTCTACAATTACAACTGCTGCAACCACTCACTACTTACACCACCAGAGCTAAAATTGCTGCGCCTCCTGACGTCACGCTGCATTACCATCGCTCATATCCGGCAGTCCCGAGCCATGTCCAGTGGAGAGCCAGAGAGCGTCGATCTGCGGCACATGGAGCCCCGACACCCCGAACATGCCGCGGGGCCAGCTTGGCATGCGGCCAGGGGCGGGAGTCGCTGCAGTGAGACATTGCCCCCCCAAAGCCGAAAACGCGCCACTAGTAGAGATAACCGAGGCTACCTCGGCCACTACGTCGACAACTGCGAAGCAGCAGTAATAAACAAACTTCCCAAGTCGGCCCAACTTGCCAATCCATCCGGCCAGCCAATCTAATCAGCCACCCCGGCCCCAAGCCAGCCCGTCAACCAACCACCCAACCAGCCACCCCGCCACCCAGCCAACCCGCACACCCCCACCGCCTGCCCTCCGTCCCCGCCGAGAGGGGGGGAATATTTTCTTACGAGCGCACGCAAGAAGAATCACCCTCCCAGGGCCAAAGAGGACATCCGGGGCGAAGCAAATCGCACCGAACCGTGGGGGAGCCGGCTGCCGGCTGCGCGCCGCGGGACGTCTGGGACGGTTGTGGGCATCAAGTGTGAGACTGTCGTCACCGTTCTACTCTTCACAGTGCCCCCTTTCTCAACGGAAAGGCTCCCATCATCGAAACTGCTGTCTGTCTTGAGGCCCCTCGCGGGGCTTCCCGCCGGGCCCCCCAGACGGGGCTGGGGAATCCGAATCGCACAGCAAGGTTGATGACCGCTCCCTGGAGCGAACTCACTCGACGGCTTAGGAGGCCCCAGGTAGCCCCAGGAAACTCAGGAGGTCGCAGGAGGCCCTAGGGTGCCCCAGGAGGCCTCAGGAGACGCTACGAGGTCCCACGAAGTCCAAGGAGGCCCAGGAGATTCCAGGAGGCCCCAGGGGGACCCAAAACGCCCCAGAATGTCCCAGGATATCCTAGAGGGCCCCCGGAGGTGCCGGGAGGAGGCTCCGGGAGGCCCCGGGAGATCCGAGAAAGCCCCAAGGAGCTCCGCTGGAGGCTGCAGGAGGCACTACGAGGCCCGAGGAAGCCCCAGAAGGCTGGCCATCGCTCGGACGTCCATTCCCTCTGCTTTTTTCGGCTTCGTGCGTGGTTTTTTCGCCAAATGATCAAGGATGCTCCTCGATGGCCCTCGCCGAACGAAAAATACACTCGTCCGAGCGATGCCAAGCCAGGAGGTCCCATGATGCACCTGGTGGCCGCAGAAGGAGCCGGGAGGTCCCATGGTCCATCGCGCGGGCGAGCGTGCGAGCAGCCGAAGCGAGCACGAGTCGTAACCGCCCGGCTAAGGTAGTACATCGCGCGAGGGGGAGGGAGGGGGAGGGAGGAGGAGCAGGAGGAGGAGGAAGACGAGGATGAGGTGGAGGAGGAGGACGCGGAAGAGACAAGGGAGGAGTCACGAGGAAGAGCCGGAGCAGGAATGGGAGGAGGTGTATTACCAGCAGGCAGTGGAGGAGGAGAAAGATGGATGGATGGACGGAGGGAGGGAGGAAAGGCGAGAGGAGGAGGGGGAGGAGGAGGAGGAGGAGGAGGAGGAGGAGGAGACGAAGGAGGAGGAGGAGGAGGAGCAGGTGGAGATGGAAGAGGAGGAGAGAGAGCAGGAGGAGGATGAGGCAGAGGAGGAGGAGGCGGAGGAGGAGGGTGAGGTCAATGAGACGATTGGAGGGAGCAGGAAGCAGCGGCGGGAGGGAGATCTAAAGGACGAGGCATGTGAAGAGGCACGACACACTAGCAGAAAGAAAACAACGCGAAGAGGAAGCAGGCGGAAAGAAATCACAACCACACTGGCGCTGACACTGCGAAACAGACACCATATGTTAGAGTTCTGGGGACGGGTTCGAAGACCGAACCTGAAGGAATCATGGTTCTATCTCGGTTTAATTTTGCGCTGCGCCGACGAGGCTTGCGCTGATCGAGCTGCACACATGCGTTGGGGCCCGCTGCAAGGAACGACGACCTGCCACTCAACCCTACAACCTGACACCTCAAGCATGGAGCGCGACTCTGATCGGGTAACAGCTGGGCCATTCGGCAACGAAAGACCTCTGCTTCAAAAAAGAACTATTGCTCCACCGCTGTCTCTGGAGCACGCCAGGGGGTCGGCCGCGCCAAGGTCGACCCTGCGACCGCCTGGGCCCGGTCAGGCGAGGAGCCACGCGTGCAAGCACGAGAGTCGCTCACCACTTGGTGGACTGGTCGAGGACGTAAGCCGCCACGTCGTCGATGTCGTCGGGGCCAAGCTTGTCGCCGAAGGCCGGCATGGAGCCCTTGCCGTTCGTCACCTGAGTCTTGATGGCCGCCGCGTTGTAGCCGCCGGTCAAGTACTGCTCGATGGCCGCCTTCCTCAGGGTCTTCTCGGCCACCACGCTGTTGTTAAAGGGAAATACCCCCTAAGCAAGCCCCTGCTTACCCCCTAAGCAGGGCCTGCTTACCCCCTAAGCAAGCCCCTGCTTACCCCCTAAGCAAGCCTGCTTTCCCGCCCGCGTGGCACGCCGCGCAGTTGCCCAGGAAGACGCTTTCGCCGTTCTCGAGGTCCGCCGCCAGCGCCGGCCGTCCGCCCATCACGGCGACCATCATGGTGGGCCTGTTTTCCACCGCCACAACCATCAGTAGGAGGGGGAGGGGGTCGTCCTCCTCCTCCTCCTCCTCCTCCTCCTCCTCCTCCTCCGCCTCCTCCACCTCCTTCCACCCTCCAACATATGGTGCTTGTGGTCCCAGACCCCCGACGTCGTGATTTTTGTCGCACGGTCGACCTCCAAAGGTCTGGACCCCTTCCCCAGGACCGGTTCTTCACCCTCGAGTCCTTTTCTGACGGTCCCGGGGCCCGGTGAGGGCCCCCAAAGGCCGAAGATAGCGAAGAACCTCCCGTCGTTCGGGGGCGGCCAAGAGGGGGGCGTCCAAGAGGGGGGGGCGCAAATCATGACCGGCGGCATGTGCGCGGCCCAGCGGGGGGGCCAGGGACGTAGTGAAACAAGAAGAAGCGCCATGAAATCTGGGGAAATATCATGGCCCACGCCATGCTATCCCCCCCCCCTAGTCATCACCTCCCTCTTCTCCGCCCCCGAAGGAGAGCGAAGAACCTCCCGCCGTGATGCTGTGCACAACGCGAGGGGTCTGGGAAAAAATCACGACGTCGGGGGTCTGGGACCACCAGCACCATAAGTTGGAGGGTGGACGGAGGTGGAGGAGGAGGAGGAGGAGGAGGAGGAGGAAGAGGAAGAGGAAGAGGAGTAGGAGGAGGAGGAGGAGGAGGAGGAGGAGGAGGAGGAGGACCCCCTCCCCCTCCTACTGATGGCTGTGGCGGTGGAAAACAGGCCCACCACATCAGCCCGAGGGCGGCCCCGATGGCCAGCGGGCTCCAAGCGGCGCTGCCGCCCGGGGCCGCCCGCGGCCTCCTCGCCGGCGAGGCCGCGGGCGGCCGGCGGGGCCGCGAGCGGCGCCCGGGGCGGCCGCGGGCTGCGCGGGGGCCACGAAGCCGCGCGCACCGTTAGAGCGCGAGGGTCGCGGCGGCCAGGAGGCACGCGGGGCGGAACATGCCCTGGCTCCTGATCCGCCGCACTTTGGATGATTTTCCGACCTAAAATTGCGTCGGAAATCGACGCCAAAGGAGCCTCAAGGGCGGAAATCGACGCTCAAAGGGGCCTCAAAAGTAGGGCGGAAATTTCCGCCCTACTTTCGAAATCGCCCAAAGTAGGGCGGATCAGGAGTCAGGGAGGAGGCACGCGGGGCGGAACATGGCGCTGGTGCTAAGTCGGGCGCGTCCCTCTGCAGGAGGAGTAGTCAAGAGTAGTCAACACGGACAGTCTGGGGACGATTCTCGTGGCTGGGTTTGAGTATGTTTGAGTATCTTCTGTTCTTCGTCCAAGGTCCGCCTGTAGGGGGACACGCCCACCATAACGCTGGTGCTGGCTTCCGATGGAGCGGCGGCCGAGGCGTACCAGGCTCGGGCTGGAGTCACACACACACTGGAGCCGAAATGACTACGGGGCCGAACCTCAGGGAATCGAGTCTTCGGATGTTCCTCCTCCTCCTCCTCCTCCTCCTCCTCCTCCTCCTCCCCCCCCCCCCTTGCTCCCCTCCTCGTGCTCCTCCTCTACCTCCTCCTCCTCCTCCTCCTCCTCCTCCTCCTCCAGCTCCTCCTCACCCTCGTTTTCATCTTCGGATGTTCCTGGCGCCCCTTTGACAATCCGAGGGTCCGGGAGCCTTCTTGAGTCCTCTGAGAGCATCAAGGGTGGAGCTCTGGAGGCCTCTGGCCACCTCCGCCCCAGCGTTTTTCCTTACGTTTGACTTCCGGGGTCGTTGTCGGACCCACCAGCGAGAAGACGCCAGAGGAGGGTATAACATGAGGCTCTAACAAGTAAGTTGCATCCAAGTGGTTTCCATCCCCGTGAGGAACGTGGTCTAGTAATGATAGCATCATCGCTATCAGTGGCCATGTCTGACCTGTCGTGCGTGAAATAATCAGGCAACTACTACAACTCCCAACTATTCGGCAATATACTTCCCGCTGCGTCCTGTCATGCCCGATGTTTCAAGGGCGTTGTTGATAAGTTGATGTCTTTCATGTTGACGGGATGGCGGGCCGCATATTGAGCAATAGTATCAGTAGTGCAGGTAGTAAGGGAAACTGTGTTATTATAGCGCAAGAAACAGGAAATAACTACAACATCCAACCATTCGGCAACGTATGTCCCGCTGCGTACTGTCATGCCCAACGTTTGAAGGGCGTTGTCGAGGGCTTGATGTCTTCAAGTGACGCTTGCGTCAGGGCGCTCGCGTGAGGTGGACGGGTTGGCGGACCGCATATGGAGCAATAGTATCTGTAGTGCACGTATTGAGTCGTAATCGTACCAGTACTCAGCTACGGCTACTAGTGCAAATATGGGTAGAATCAGCGGCAATACTAGCGGCGGTTTTGGTAGCGGCGCTCATAGACATCGCAACGCCAACGCGATCATTCGTACTATGTTGAGCTACAAACCAACGGCTACAACGAATTACCGTTACAACACATTCTGCTAAGGATACGGGACGGGCAAGACGGCCACTGCGACTCCGACTGCAAGAAGTGGCATTACCATCACTCTGCGGCTGCGGGTCGGATTACCGCTGCCGCTGCTGCATGATACTGCTGCTGGGACTTCTGCTGCTGCCGCTGGCTGCTGGCGAATCACTGGTTGCCGGTGCTCCTGCCACCGCCGCTGCCTCCGAAGGGAAGGGAATTTCTTCATTCGTCGACCAGACAGCGTGCGAGCAGCTGCGGGACGCGCCGGGGCTAACTGAGGCAAGGGGGCTGGGGAGAAGAACGCGCGGAGACGAGAGAGGAAGGAGGAGGAGGAGGAGGAGGAGGAGGGGGAGGAGGAGGGGGAGGAGGAGGAGGGAGGAGGAGGAAGGAGGGAGGAGGAGGAGGAGGAGGATGGGAAGGGAGCACGAGACGGGTGGAGAGCCGCCGTCGTCCGACCCCCTTGATGCGGCGCCTGTGCTGTCGGCCAGCAGCGTCCGCGAGGCCAGCTGGCTGTCCACCACCACCGCCGCGATGCGACCCTCGAACGGCTCGCACTGAGCGTGCCGCGCCCCTCAGTCGCCCGTCAGCATGGACATGCAGAGATCTGTACATACATATAAATACATACATATGCATCTATACATTATGTTCGCATGCATATATATATAGACACGTGCATCTATACATTATGTTCGCATGCCTACACGCATATACACGTATGCTATGAACACGCGTATGATCGTACAAACCTATGCGCATTGATCTGTGTATACATACCAGACGTATATATACATATACGTGTATATGTATACAAGTACACCTGCACACAAACACACACACACACACATACATTCATACTATATATATAGGTCAAATATTTACGTACAAAATACATGTCCAGATGCGCAACCGTACCCTGAGGTACGAGTTGGAATGTCCTCAAGATTTTGCGGAATGGTTCCCGTCGGCTTCCCCGTCCAAGACGGCTCCAGGATGACCCCAGCCTGCCAGACGGCCCCGCCTGGGTCCGGCGGGGAAGGCGGAGGGCACGGGCCTTCCCAGAAGGCTCAGAATCGGGGCACAAAGTGTGACATAAACATAAAAACTCGGAGATCCGCGCGGATTTCTCGGATCGGCGCTGGACCCCCCTCCCTGGCGCGCGGAGCGCGCCAGGGGTGGCGCCGGAGGCGCCGCCAGGGGGCCCCAGCGCCGATCCGAGAAACCCGCGCGGACCTCCGAGTTTTTCCCGGAAAGGGCATGGGCCCAGGGTTCTCTTTTAGTTTGTAAACAAGTCCCCCGGTGCCTGCTTGAAGGAGGCCGGCGAATTGCCGGCGAATTTTTTCCCTGATAAATAACGAGGTCGAAGGAGGCCGGCGAATTTTTCCCTGATAAATAACGAGCCCGAGAATTAAAATTAGAGGATGTCTCGAGCGAAACGCTTGTTTTTGAGGCCGGCGAATTAAAATTTGAGGATGTCTCGAGCGAAACGCTTGTTTTTGAAATCCCGCCTCACCACACCCCAGCACGACCACGCCCCAGCACAACCAAGCACGACCACACCCCAGCACGACCACCCCCCAGCACGACCACGCCCCAGCACGACCCCACCCTAGCACGACCATACCCCAGCACGACCACACCCCAGCACGACCAGACCCCAGCACGACCCCACCCTAGCACGACCACACCCCAGCACGACCATACCCCAGCACGACCACACCCCAGCACGACCCGACCCCAGCACGACCCTACCCCAGCAAGACCACACCCCAGCACGACCACACCCCAGCACGACAACACCCCAGCACGACCCCACCCCAGCACGACCACGCCCCAGCACGACCACGCCCCAGCACGACCACGCCCCAGCACGACCACCTCCCAGAGACCACTCCCCAGCACGACCCCACCCCAGCACGACCACGCCCCAGCACGACCACACCCCAGCACGATCACACCCCAGAACGACCACACCCCAGCACGACCCCACCCAAGCACGACCACACCCCAGCACGACCATACCCCAGCACGACCACACCCCAGCACGACCCGACCCCAGCACGACCCTACCCCAGCAAGACCACACCCCAGCACGACCACACCCCAGCACGACCTCACCACAGCACGACCACACCCCAGCACGACCACGCCCCAGCACGACCACGCCCCAGCACGACCACGCCCCAGCACGACCCCCCCCCAGCACGACCACCCCCCCAGCACGACCACCCCCCAGCACGACCACCCCCCAGCACGACCACACCCCAGCACGACCACTCCCCAGCACGACCACACCGCCTTGGTTGAGTGGTTGCCTGTCGTCGTGGAATGTTTCGTGGGGTTTCTCGTGGAATGTTTCGCGGGGTGTCTCGTGGAATGTTTCGTGAGGTGTCTCGTGGAATGTTTCGTGAGGTGTCTCGTGGGATGTTTCGTGAAGTGTCTCGTGGGATGTTTCGTGAGGTGTTGCCCAGTTGGGTATCGTGAAAACGTGTCCATGCTCCACATGTCTATATCCCTGTCCGGGTTCGAGGGTCCATCATGTTTATGTTTCGTTGTCCTTTTTGTGCCCCCACAGAAGGCCTCCAGCCCTCCGACGGGCCTCCTCAGTCTTCAACTGGCCATTCGCTCGGACGTCCAGTTCCTGCGCTATTTTTCCCGGAGAAAGGGCAAGAGCCCAGGGTCTCTTTTAGTTTGTAAAAAACTTAATCCCCCGGTGCCGGCTTGAAGGAGGCCGTGCGGAATTTTTTTTTTCCTGAAAATTTAACGAGGTCGAAAAGGAGGCCGGCAGGGCAGTTTATTTTAAAAATTTGAGAGTCGCGAGGCCGAAAAACGATTGTTCCCGAAAGGGCTTGGCCCAAGGGTTCTCTTTTAGGTTTGTAAAAACCAAGTCCACCACATACGGCTTGAAGGAGGCCGGCCGGCGGCGAATTTTCGGAATTTTTTTTCCCTGATAAATAACGAGCCGGCGAATTGCCGGCGAATTTTTTTCCCTGATAAATAACGAGCCGGCGAATTGCCGGCGAATTTTTTCCATGATAAATAACGAGCCGGCGAATTAAAATTTGAGGATGTCTCGAGCGAAACGCTTGTTTTTGAGCGCCGGCGAATTAAAATTTGAGGATGTCTCGAGCGAAACGCTTGTTTTTGAGCGCCGGCGAATTAAAATTTGAGGATGTCTCGAGCGAAACGCTTGTGTTTGAGGCCGGCGAATTAAAATTTGAGGATGTCTCGAGCGAAACGCTTGTTTTTGAAATCCCGACCTCACCACACCCCAGCACGACCACACCCCGACACGACACGCCCCAGCCACGGCTCCCGATCCCACACCCCAGCACGACCCGACCCCAGCACGACCCTACCCCAGCAAGACCACAACCCAGCACGACCACACCCCAGCACGACCTCACCACAGCACGACCACACCCCAGCACGACCACGCCCCAGCACGACCACGCCCCAGCACGACCACGCCCCAGCACGACCACGCTCCAGCACGACCACGCCACAGCACGACCACACCCCAGCACGACCACACCCTAGCAAGACCACACCCCAGCACGACCACACCCCAGCACGACCTCACCACAGCACGACCACACTCCAGCACGACCACGTTCCAGCACGACCACGCCCCAGCACGACCACGCCCCAGCACAACCACCCCCCAGCACGACCACCCCCCCAGCACGACCACACCCCAGCACGACCACCCCCCAGCACGACCACACCCCAGCACGACCACTACCCAGCACGACCACACCGCCTTGGTTGAGTGGTTGCCTGTCGTCGTGGAATGTTTCGTGGGGTGTCTCGTGGAATGTTTCGCGGGGTGTCTCCTGGAATGTTTCGTGAGGTGTCTCGCGGAATGTTTCGTGAGTTGTCTCGTGGGATGTTTCGTGAGGTGTCTCGTGGGATGTTTCGTGAGGTGTTGCCCCCCCCGTTTTTTTTTTTTTCCCTCTTTGATTGGGTATCGTGAAAACGTGCCATAGCCACTCCACATGTCTATATCCCTTTCCGGGTTCGTGGGTCCATTCATGTTTTTGGAATTCCCGACGATAAATCACAGGGTGCGGGCCACTCTTTTTTTTCGTGATGGTGAGAGATGTCTCGAGCGAAACGCTTGGCTCCGACAGAGTTTGCCGATGAAATCCGAGCGAAACCGCTTGTTTTTGGCGCATGCGAGCCGACCCCGCGACGCGGAAAAGAAAAAGCGCCCCTCGCGCTGAAGGGGGAGGAATTTTCGATGAGTGTTCTCGACTAATTCCTTTGTTTTTGTTACGATTTCCTGGGAAATTTTGGCCAGGATGTCTCGAGCGAAATGCACGACCCCACCCTAGCACGACCATACCCCAGCACGACCACACCCCAGCACGACCAGACCCCAGCACGACCCCACCCCAGCACGACCCCACCCCAGCACGACCATACCCAGCACGACCACACCCCAGCACGACCCGACCCCAGCACGACCCTACCCCAGCAAGACCACACCCCAGCACGACCACACCCCAGCACGACCTCACCCCAGCACGACCACACCCCAGCACGACCACGCCCCAGCACGACCACGCCCCAGCACGACCACGCCCCAGCACGACCTCACCACAGCACGACCACACCCCAGCACGACCACGCCCCAGCACGACCACGCCCCAGCACGACCACACCCCAGCACGACCACACCCCAGCACGACCACACCCCAGCACCACCACACCCCAGCACGACCACACCCCAGCACGACCCGATCGATAAATCACAGGGTGCGGAGCACCCCAGCACGAACCCACCCCAGCACGACCCCACCCCAGCACGACCCCACCCCAGCACGACCACGCCCCAGCATGACCACACCCCAGCACGACCACACCCCAGCACGACCACTCCCCAGCACGACCCCACCCCAGCACGACCCCACCCTAGCACGACCACCCCCCAGCACGACCACACCCCAGCACGACCCCACCCCAGCACGATCACACCCCAGCACGACCCCACCCCAGCAAGACCACACCCCAGCACGACCGCACCCCAGCACGACCAAACCACAGCACGACCACACCCCAGCACGACCACGCCCCCGCACGACCACGCCCCAGCACGACCACGCCCCAGCACGACCACGCCCCAGCACGACCACCCCCCAGCACGACCATCCCCCCAGCACGACCACCGCCCAGCACGACCACTCCCCAGCACGACCACACCCCAGCACGACCACTCCCCAGCACGACCACACCCCAGCACGACCACACCACCTTTGGTTGAGTGTGGTTGCCTGTCGTCGTGGAAATGTTTCGTGGAGGTGTCTCCGCTGGAATGTTTCGCGGGGTGTCTCGTGAAATGTTTTCGTGAGCGGTGGGTTGTCTCGTGGAAAGGTTTCCGTGAGGTGCTAGTGGGGGTTTCGTGAGGTGTCCGTGGGCTGGTGGGCTGTTTCGTGAGGTGTCTCGTGGGATGTTTCGTGAGGTGTTGCCCAGTTGGGTATCATGAAAACGTGTCCATGCTCCACATGTCTATATCCCTTTCCGGGTTCGTGGGTCCATCATGTTGTCGGTTTCGCGCGTGGTTTTTTC